AGCAATAATATGCCAATATTAAGTTAGTTTTTTCTTAAAACAAGCAAAATAATCGGCCAATGGGGTAAGCAAAATAATTTTGTTTTTCCTTTTGACATAAGATTATTTTGCTCACCCCATTGGTAGATTATTTAGCTTGTTTTAAGTGAAAAACTCACTTAATTTTGCTACATTATTTCTTAAAACAACAAAATTCTTCTTGATTTAAGAATTGTGAGATATTTGGACTAGAAACAAGACAAAAAAAATCGAAGTAGCTTTTAGTGCAGTGCATTGCTCATTTGCACACTGCATGCATAAGAAGTAAGCAGCAATACTCACAGCCTGTGATGCTTCATGAATTGCCAGCGTTTTTACCGGAACCGTTATGATTGTGAGATCCAGACGCCCACAACTCCGGTCACTTGACCTGATAATCTGTTTTTCCACTCACAAAAGAGGCATTGTGCAAAACTAGGGGGGGCTTATTAATCTGTGCAAATCTTCCACACACATTTATAGACGTTCATAGACTCGATTATTAATTGCGTGGTTATGTAATGAGAACATTATATCGATGATCTGCTGTTTTAATTCATTATTGAACGTTTGTTGTATTTTGAGGCCCTCAGAAGGGAGTTTTCTGCAGTTTTTATCGCCCCCTAGTTGATGAAATGCTGATCTGCTGGTGGCCCCGTTGCATTTCTTTAACCCTCGAGTGTTGGAGCTGGGAATGTTTAGATGCTGGGAACATGCAAACGGCTTGTAAGGGTGTGTTTTATTTTTGCATCAAGAGTTTATGAGGAAAGAGCCGGGTCACTGGGGTAAGCCTGATTTTTGTTGTTGTTCTTTTTATATTTGCGTCTGGGTGTTTTATTTGACGTGAGAAGTGCTCTGACATTATATTGAAGCATTGTGCCTAAACACTGGCTTCCATACAATCAATTTGCATTGGGACAACATGAAGGAATTAAGTTACCTTATTAGTTTTAACAAATTTAAGTTAGTTAAAAATAAAACCTCAAGAATTGTGTTGATTCAGCTCATTTAAAAGAAAGTCATCCTGTATTTATTGAGTATATTTAGAAAACAACACTTACGCTTCACCTGCTTTGTGTTCTATTCATAAGCATTATTGTGAGTTCTATTTGTTATTATATGAGATTATTATTAGGATGTACTGTAATAAGTTATTTGTTCCCTACATTTATTTCAATAGTATATTTTCAGTACTATTTGGAAAAGGGCTGCTGTTGTTTGGTGTCATTGTTGAAATAGCATGGTTTATGAATATGATCACTTGCTGAATATACTTAATTGAAATATGATATATTTGAACTTTTGCTTAATATGTACACGTAATTATTGTAGATGTTTATGAAAAAGGATAAATGTTATAGGATATGTATTTGTCCACTTGTTTGTTAAAATGCTACGGATATGATATTGCATATATCATATATTTTATTATTATTTTATTTTATTATTTTAAATTTGTGCTTTAATATAATATAATATAATATAATATAATATAATATAATATAATATAATATAATATAATATAATATAATATAATATAATATAATATAATATAATAAATTATATTATATTAATCATATTATGTCAATTTAATATAATA